TGGAGCTGTATTTCTCCAGCAAAGAGCTGGCTGTAGAGTTGTGGAACTAAATTCTCCAACAAAGGCTATGCTGTAGTTATCTGTAGAGCTGTGGGACTGCTCCCAGCAAAGCTGTAAAAGACGAAGCTTTCTACAGGTGGAACTGATTCACGTCCTGTCCAAAAGGCTTCTCTGTGTGAACTGAGCTAGAGGTCCCCTTTTCCCCTCCTTAACCTAAAAAAAGGGGCAGAACTAAAGAACATAATGATAATTGATGGGTCATTGGCCCTATTATTGCAAACCAAGGGAAGCCACCTTATTGCAAAATGCATGGAACTTTGGAATACATGCAAACACTCAATAGAAAGGAAAAGAAGTTGGAGCTCCTGGTACAGCCGTACCAGCACAGAAACCTTCAAAAAGAATCTCAAGACCTGGCTCTGCCACTGCGCTTTTGGAGAGTAGTCACATACTATCGCTCCCTCAACATTCTTGTCCTAGGAGTACACCCCCCCCCCCGCCCCTTGTACGAAGGTATGTTTATTTCCCTGTCTCTCTATGAGTTTTCCCTTACAAATAATTCTGCTCCTTTATCTCACCCTGAGTTTTTAAATCATTTTATGTACATGCAGCCCGCTCACTGTCATTATGATTGGTTTACTGCTTTTTTTCTTTATGTGTGTGTATATTGTTTGTATGCTTATATGTTTTAAACTTTAATGCTATGTTGTTTATTTTATTGCAATTTGTATCTTATTTTATTGTAATTTGTTGTTCGGTCTTAGCCTCATGTAAGCCGCCCCAAGTCCCCGTTGGAGGAGATGGTGGTGGGGTATAAATAAAGATGATGATGATGATGATTATTATTATTATGTTCTAGAAGCATTATTTCCTGATGTTTCACCCACTGCTATGGCAGGCATCCTCAGAGGTTGTGGGGTTACATACAGTTTGGAAAACTCACAACAACCCAGTGTTTCCCATCATGAAAACCTTCAACAACATTTTGTGCATAAATTAACCTTTCCTGGATTGGACTATGAAAAAAAAGAGTGTTAGTCTTCAAATCTGGAGTGTCCAGAGAGAGGGGGGGGGGGAGATTGCACCCCTCCCCCCCCCCAACAATTAACATTTCAATGACCTACTTGAGAAGATCCCCCCAGTTCTATGATAAGGTTCTCAGATATACAATTCTTGTAGTTAGTAGCCCGAAATTCATTCCAGAAACAGTTTTAGCTGAGGATGAACTGCTCATTCTATCATGCAAGTGACAATATTTTCATTCCCTTAGGGTTGTAAGGCATCATTCGTATTAGAACCAATAAAACTCCTCTAGATACGTTGTACTCAAATTAGGGTGCAATGATTTGATCCTGGTACCCATGCAATTGGTCCCTGGAAAGTTTCCATGAAAGTTAAAAAAATGTTCTGCAGGCCAGTATATGTATGATAACAAAGTGCTCATGCTGGTATGTAATAGCTATTAGTGATTGCACAACTGCTTTGGAATAGCATCTTTGTGTGATAAAATCCCTAGAAAGAATGAACAAAGGTATAGTTTTTTTAGCGCTACCTATATGCTTGGATCCAATCCGCTACACTTTTTCCCTCTTTGCTAAACTAATAATATTACAATATAATGGTATAGTACGATATAGTAATATATAATAGTGATATTGTGCTATGGTAATAATAATATAATATATTGTATGTATATATATCTTTTGTGGTGAGAAGGGCGGCATATAAATGCTATAAATAAACAAACAAACACTGCCACTTTCAAATTGTTTCATAGAATTAAGGTTTCATTATATCTCTTAATCCCCAACAGGAAACTGTACCATCCGGATTTTACCCAAGATAGAAACGCAAGGCCTTGGACTAGAAGAAGCCCCAGCGCTGGCTGAGAGCACCCGCAAATTGATGCAGGAAACTTTCTATGAGATTTCCGAGGAGCTGCATGGTGAGAAGGAAAGGATTGAGTGAGTACCCTGTCGTTACGGAAGACACCAGAGGATTTTTCATCTTTCTCTCAAACCATCAGTTGATAAGAACTGAACTGAATACAACGTGACTATCTCTTAGCCAAAATGGTTGGGACCAGAAAGTGTTTTGGATTTTGGATTGTTTTTATTTATTTTGGAACACCTGTGTTTACCTATATGTACATGATGAGATATTTTGGCGACAAGACCCAAGTCTAAACACAAAATTCATGAATGTTTCATAGACATCATATATGAGAGAGAGAGAGAGAGACTCTGAAGGTAATTTTATACATACTATTTTTGATCATTTTCATGAAACAGAGTTTGTGTACATTGAACCATTAGAAAGCAAAGATTCCACTATGTCAGCCACCCAGGTGGACAATTCTGGATTTTGGAATTCCAGAAATTGAATGCTCAACGTGTAAAGATGGTAAACATGCAGAAGTCCATATAGATTAAGTACAGTGGCATTTTAACAATCCACATCCTTTCCCCTTTCCAAACATAACATTGAAAGGATGCAAAAGGGACTTTAGGAATGATGGATAAATTGAAAGACCGTCCTTTGGATGTATCCCGATCTCTTACTTGTCAGGCTGTTAGTAATATAATCTGCTGCACTGTGTATCTAGCAGCCCCAGTGTTCTGATAAACATACATCTCAGAGCTGATCAGAGAGATAAATTATTTGGAAATCAGAACAAAGCTGCCTTCAAATCTGTGTTGAATACCGAACAATGGAATCTGACCATCAGGCAACACAGAAGACACATCTTTGCTGTTTTATAGGTGAGACATCGAGTATGTAGACCTTTGAGGTCCACTACCTAATAATTTTACCACATTGGTAGGAGACCATTCATGGTGCTATACTTTTTGATTTAACTCAAAAACTTGGAAAGCTACATATAGGGGAAGCAGGCCTGATAAATGTTTTAGCCTTTGCTTCCCAAATATCATTCCTGTTGTCTCAAAGCAACACAATAGGCATCTACATTGGCTTCACCTTCAAGAATGGATCAAGATGCTGAGAAAAATATTGGCCAGCTCTAATGAAGTAAGACAATATGAAATCATTGTGAGTAAAACCATAGGAAAAAAGTGGAATAGTAGGGTAGCAGCTGCACAAATTGAGTTACTTCAGCTTTATTTTTTTCTCCACTTTGCAATTACATTATGGTGTAATTTATATGAGACATGATCATCACTATCATCATTACCACCACTACCAATCTGCTTAAAGGATGTTTGACACCAAATGGTAATGTGGAAGTCATTTAAAAATATTATGTGAAAGTGTAGAGTTCCTCTCTGCACATGTTGCTATGCATTTGGAAGAGTGTGCTGGCACAGCTGTGCCAGAAGCTAAATTTTCTTTTTCTATGCATGATTAGTTTGCACATATTTCTGTTAGCCAGGCATTTTGCAGTTAAGCAGCTTTCCCCAGGCTGCAGTCATAGGCTAACAGCCTGCCTATCATCGTTGGGGCTTTTGGAACCGCCCTTTTCCCCAGGTTCAGGAGGGAAAAAGGGGACAGTTTGTTCAGTCTTACAGTTTGAAGCCCAACTACAGGACGTGCAAGTTTTTCCCTCCTGTAGAAAAGCTTCGTTTCTTACAAGCTTGGCTGGGGAAGACAATTCTCATAGCTTTACTAAGAAATACAGAACAGCCCTTGTTGGGGTTAAAGAAACAGATCCACAGCATTCGTGGAAAAAATCCAAAGGACTCCAGCTGGAAAATCTTCAGAGTTTCAACCGGTAAGGTCTACTCGGGTACCCATAAAGCAAATTGGAACCGGGAGTAGGGCCCCACGCCACCTAAGCCTAAAAGACAGATTGCCCAAGGAGGGGTCAAAAGGATTTCCCTCATAGAAGAAAGAAACAGTTCATGAAGCTAGTTGCCTGTCCATTGTGGACAAGTTAAGAAATATTTGGTTAATTTGTTGAAAATCTAAGAAGTATTTGACTGATTTGTTGCACCAATAAAGAATTTTGTTAAACTTTCCAAGCTTCTAAAGACTTTGTATAGGGAAATTCATAGGGCCTCTCAGCAGAGGCACCCCAGCGTCCCACTGGGCACATAAAGATCACATCCTGTTAATAGACAATTGCTACAGGCCCGGCGTGTGACAGCACAAAGAGTGTAGGAATAAGATACTATTTACAGAGTGTGGGTTCTTCGTAGGAGACTTTTATCCCCCCCCCCCCCCGATCAGGGGTTAGCAACTGTGCAGAGGACATTTTCCCTGTGTGCATGTGCCACTGGTGGGCTGTACAAATTTTTTTGTACCTCTCAAGCCATCTAGTACAGAGAGTCCCTGAGTTACAAATGATTCATAGTTAAGAATGGGAGTGAGTCAACAAAGTAAGAAAAATCTATCCCTAGAAAGGGAAATCCACTCTGGGGAGAATTATCAAGGGGAAAAGGAGTCTCCGCCAAAGCTTTCTCACCAATCCTTGTTTCCACAATAAGCCACATTTTTCAAAATCCAGTTAATATAGGGACAGAAAATGTGAAATCATCTGAACAAGAGTACTGAGACCAAAACAAATACCATAGGGGTGTTAACACTTCAATATGCTATCCAAAGCATGCATATATCTGGGGTGATGTTTTATTTTAGGTTTCTTTGGGAAGGTTTGGAGAGCTTGGGGTGCACACTGCCCCATTATCAGGTGGTTTAAACAGTTTGGGGTGATTGTGCATGCTCGGTGGCACAATGGGTTTAAACCATTGTGCCGGCAGGACTGAAGACTGACAGGTCAGATGTTCGAATCCAGGGAGAGCGTGCATGAGCTCCCTCTGTCAGCTCTGGCTCCCCATGTGGGAACATGAGAGAAACCTCCCACAAGGATAGTAAAACATCAAAACATCTGGGAATCCCCTGGGCAACGTCCTTGCAGACAGCCAATTCTCTCACACCAGAAGTAACTTCCAGTTTCTCAAGTTGCTCCTGATACAGACATACACACAAACCCACCCTAAAAGTCACGTGGGCTTTGAAAGGCTTCTGGTGAACTTACAGGCTTCACTTACAGACCTCTGAGATGCAGGTTGTCTACAGAGTGCATTTTGCCCAACCTAGTATTCTACATAAACACAGAAACCCAAGAAAAACACACAAGAGGAACTTTAATTCCAAATGCAAGGCTAGAATATGAATGTAGGTGTTTTTCATATAGTAATACTGATGGACTCCCCACCCCCCTGGCCCCCCCCCCCCCCCCCCGCAATCCACACACAATGCTGATCACTGTATGTAACAATCTATTAAGCAGGCCTATGGTGGAAACTCATTCTTCAATACTGTAATAATTTTTAATATATTTTTCAGGGGCTGAATTCCAAAACCACAACTATGCTTTACCACGCACAGTTATTTCACAAATTTAATATTGCAAATCAATTCAGTTTTGATTAAGTGCAGACGCTGATGTTGCAGCATGACTTCTATTAGCGCTTTTGAATGGATTTTTGTCTATCAGCAAATTAAAAAGTGTTTGGGAAATCTAACTGAATACTTTAACCTCTTTTGTACTGTTCCTTTCCCAAAGAAATCTTAGCCACCTATTACGAGAGAAAAACACCAAAGCAGGTTGCGGGAGGAAATGTACGTGGTAGAGCAAATCTGGGGTCATCTTTGGATTTAGAAGGCCAAAATCTCATAAAAGCAGAAAATCTATATAAATAAAATGTAATGTTCGTTTGTGGGATTAACACAACTCAAAAACCACTAGACGAATTGACACCAAATTTGGACACAATACACCTATGAGGCCAACAAGTGACCATCACCAGAGGCGGCCCTAGGTAATTTTCAATGGTAAGCAAACAGTATTTTGCCCCCCCCCCCCCCGCCCCAACCAATCACTGATATATATTTTCTGTTTGTCATGGGAGTTCTGTGTGCCATATTTGGTTCAATTCCATCATTGATGGAGTTCAGAATGCTCTTTGATTTTAGGTGAACTATACATCCCAGTAACTACAACTCGCATATGTCAAGGTCTATTTTCCCCCAAGAGCACCTCAAGAGCGCCCCTGGGCAAAATCAACTATACTGCGAATGCTTACTTTGTGTAATGGGTTGAGCCGCCCCTGACCATCACTCATAAAACACTGAAAAACACAGCAGAAGAGACTTAAAAAGCCAAAAAAAACCCAAAACATTATAATGCCTGCACAAAGCCCTATATATATACACACACACATACATACACACACTCACTCTATATACACACACACACATATACATATATACATACACACACGCAAACACACATATACACATATGCACAAATATATACACACACAAAACACATATATACACAGACTGGGCCACAGCAACGCATAGCAGGGGATGGCTAGTATTTTAATAAAAAATGTGTGACCCTCGATTTTGCAAGCTTGTGTGATCAAAAAGAAATGAATGGCATCTACGATTTGTTTTATCCTTTAGCAGTATCTACAAGTAGTCTCCACCTACATGTTTTGAGCACCAGGATTGTTGTTTCTTGAAACTGAACCATGATGTAAAGCTTTAGAAAACTCCAATTGCAGCTATCTGGAACACTGAGTTCAAGGCATGCAGAAACTTCCTGAAAGACCAACCTAGCAATTATGCCTATTTCATCCTTATCACGAAATCTCTTATCTGTCATCTCAAGGAACTTCTTGGATATGATAATGAAGCAGGAAGGTTTTTAGCCTATAGATAGGTGATGGTGCTCAGTACTGTCATTTGACTCAAGCTTAATTCTCTAGGTAAAGTTGGCTGCTGTATTCAGGTAGTTCTTTTTAAAAATTAGTCTAGTTATCATTAGAAGGGAATTGCTCGTAATGAGAAGTGTCCAATTTTCTCCAAAATGCTACCTCTAAATTAGATATCATTGTGATTAGACAGGTGGAACTGAGAATATCTTTTACAGACACCAAGGAGTTGTCAGAGATAGCAGGAAATGCAACTAAAGTTTTTGTGTAAGAGAATTCCACACTTGCCATTTATGTACTGAATGAGAATATTTCAATGCTTATTGACCCAAATAAATGTTGATGTCAAACTGTATTAATTCTATGGTGTAGATCCACCCTTAGAGTACCTTATCCTTCAAATAGAGGATGTTATTTGTTAACAGACCTATGGGTGTTTTTCAACCCTTAAAATAGTTGTTCCCAACCTGTGGTCTGTGGACCAT